GCTCCCTGGGGGCTGGGGGAAAGGAGGCAGCCTCCGCCTCTCAGCCTCCAGTCCTCAGCCTCGTTTGCCTACAACCCAGGCTCAGGGGAGGCAGCTGCCTCTGATGGGAAACACTGACCCACTTTGTCCCCTCCCTGGGAGCAGGGACGACAGCAGACCCCAGGCCCTTCGCTGCGTCTGTCTGCAGTGGCCGGCTGTGTTTGCTGAGCTGGGCAGAGGGAAGGCAGGGTCTTGGTTCAAGAATCAGAGCTTCTCCCTTTTCTTCCTGAATATGAGTAGATTCTCTTTAGTAAAAATTCTTCCCTGGCTGTGCGCCCCAGGACCATTTCCAGAGCCCATTTTTTTTTCCTTAACGGTTCTCATGAATCTCACCAGGGAGAGGTCAGCGGAGGCCTTCGCGTGGCCGAGCCAGGAGTAGAATGCAGCGAGTGTTTAGCGGTTGAGCCGACTCGTGATCCCCCCGGAAGTCGAGCCAGAGAAGGGAGTTTATTCGGGGCGGCGTCCGGGTGCATTTCGTCTCCTGTTTCCTGGACCTGGCGAGCCTGTGACTGCAGGCGAATCTCGGCCACCGTGCTCTTTGCCGTCTGTAGAGCAGGGACAGGGATGCCCGGCCCTCGGAGCTGCCGTGAGCAGCTGAACTCAGAGCTCCCAAGTGTTCGCCCCCCACTCCGCTCCAGGAAAAACGAGTGGTCTGTGGCGGGGCTCAGGGACCCTGAGGGAGGACCCCGGCCCATGGGAGAAGGGGACCCAGGGATCAGGACCCCCAATGGCAGCTCAGGTCTGCGTTTCTCTCCAGTCCTGGACGGGACCCCTCCTGGGTGTGCCGCCACAGGTTGCTGTCAACATGGGGGATTTAGCACTCCGAAGTGCTCCCTGGGGTTTGACATCACCGAGACAGGCCATCCGAGCAGGAGATGGGGGAACCCCATGCCTTGAACAGGGTTTAGACCATCCAAAGATTGCCCGGCCCACGTGGGACAGACAGCGCACACAGTAGGACCACACCTGTGCACACAGTAGGACCACGCCTCCGTGATGGAGGAGAAACGGAGGCAGCAGCGACTTCCTAGTGGCCATCATGAGCCACCCTAAAGAGGGAAACAGGAAAGAGAGTGCACTGCCTGCCTGTCCCCCCCCCTCCCCGGGAGGCTAGTGTTATGGCAGCTGCTCTGCCCCAGCACGGCCCTGGGCCTGACCCAGAGGTGTGACAGGCACGTGACCTGGTGGGGGGGGCCCGAGGCCCACACGTGAAGATGATGGCAGGTTCGGGAATTCCTTGTCTTCCCCTGGGGCCCGGCACACAGGGAGGGACCAGGCGCGGGCAGGAGCCGGCGCGGTCTGTGTGCACACGCTCCTGGCGGGCTGCCACGGGGAACCGCAGAGCCACGTGCACCCAGGGATATTTTGTCAGGAGAGACAGCAAGTCATGCTCCTGCCCGTTCCCGGCCTGCGGGGTCAGCGGGCAGCGGCTCTCGGGCTTCCTGCGTGGGGAAGCAGTGACCAGAGCCCGGGCGGCCACCCTGCTCCTGCTCTCTGCACGTGGAGTGTGGTTCCCGCTCCTTCCAGGGAGCAGGGGGCGCGGCTGCC